TCCCTTAGTTTTTGTTGGGGATATTCTCCCCAGAAGCTATTGCTTCTATACAAAAAACCTTTCATACCCAAATGTCTCTTGTAACAAAGCGAAGTACTTAGCTGGCATGAGAATTTCGTTGGAGCCTCACTTCGAGGTTAACAAGGCATTTACAAACAATACCACACCTTTCCCACTGTTGTGTGTTGTCACATCGCGACAAATGCACACAACGACTTTGTTGGTGTTGCTAGTATACAGCAACAAACCAAACAGTTCAACCGTGCCTGCGTCTACAACTTCAGTAGTGTTGGCGGTTTATTTGGGATACCATTTGTATTTTGTTTTTGCAAAATAGTCAGGCTGAATCCCAGTTTGTTGTTTTTATAAAAAAACAACTATTTATTAGTGGGGAATGTATGGCATTGTTTGCCGAGGGGTAAGGCAGGGAAGACTATAGTTTCGGATCACGCCACTGATCCTCATCAGTTCCCTTAGTTTTTTGTTGGGATATTCTCCCAGAAGCTATTGCTTCTATACAAAAAACCTTTCATACCCAAATGTCTCTTGTAACAAAGCGAAGTACTTAGCTGACCAACGCCATAAACTGCATGAGAATTTCGTTGGAGCCTCACTTCGAGGTTAACAAGGCATTTACAAACAATACCACACCTTTCCCACTGTTGTGTGTTGTCACATCGCGACAAATGCACACAACGACTTTGTTGGTGTTGCTAGTATACAGCAACAAACCAAACAGTTCAACCGTGCCTGCGTCTACAACTTCAGTAGTGTTGGCGGTTTATTTGGGATACCATTTGTATTTTGTTTTTGCAAAATAGTCAGGCTGAATCCCAGTTTGTTGTTTTTATAAAAAAACAACTATTTATTAGTGGGGAATGTATGGCATTGTTTGCCGAGGGGTAAGGCAGGGAAGACTATAGTTTCGGATCACGCCACTGATCCTCATCAGTTCCCTTAGTTTTTTGTTGGGATATTCTCCCCAGAAGCTATTGCTTCTATACAAAAAACCTTTCATACCCAAATGTCTCTTGTAACAAAGCGAAGTACTTAGCTGACCAACGACTGAAGTTGTAGACGCAGGCACGGTTGAACTGTTTGGTTTGTTGCTGTATACTAGCAACACCAACAAAGTCGTTGTGTGCATTTGTCGCGATGTGACAACACACAACAGTGGGAAAGGTGTGGTATTGTTTGTAAATGCCTTGTTAACCTCGAAGTGAGGCTCCAACGAAATTCTCATGCAGTTTATGTCGTTGGTCAGCTAAGTACTTCGCTTTGTTACAAGAGACATTTGGGTATGAAAGGTTTTTTGTATAGAAGCAATAGCTTCTGGGGAGAATATCCCAACAAAAAACTAAGGGAACTGATGAGGATCAGTGGCGTGATCCGAAACTATAGTCTTCCCTGCCTTACCCCTCGGCAAACAATGCCATACATTCCCCACTAATAAATAGTTGTTTTTTTTATAAAAACAACAAACTGGGATTCAGCCTGACTATTTTGCAAAAACAAAATACAAATGGTATCCCAAATAAACCGCCAACACTACTGAAGTTGTAGACGCAGGCACGGTTGAACTGTTTGGTTTGTTGCTGTATACTAGCAACACCAACAAAGTCGTTGTGTGCATTTGTCGCGATGTGACAACACACAACAGTGGGAAAGGTGTGGTATTGTTTGTAAATGCCTTGTTAACCTCGAAGTGAGGCTCCAACGAAATTCTCATGCAGTTTATGTCGTTGGTCAGCTAAGTACTTCGCTTTGTTACAAGAGACATTTGGGTATGAAAGGTTTTTTGTATAGAAGCAATAGCTTCTGGGGAGAATATCCCAACAAAAAACTAAGGGAACTGATGAGGATCAGTGGCGTGATCCGAAACTATAGTCTTCCCTGCCTTACCCCTCGGCAAACAATGCCATACATTCCCCACTAATAAATAGTTGTTTTTTTATAAAAACAACAAACTGGGATTCAGCCTGACTATTTTGCAAAAACAAAATATTTTAGATATTTTAATGGCCATCCTCATGGTGGAGGATATAAAAAGTTCGGTCGCGCCGTACATATAGCGCTATATTTGGATGGGTACAAATGTACCACGTTTATACGTTTTTATGTTAATGACTGTAGGGTTAAAGAGTTCACTTCCCTCAATTACGTTTCGAATAGATTGAGTTTAGGATATATTCGACATGTTTTGTTAAACTATCATTTAAGGTTAAAGTCTTCCGCGAAATTAAATTTTGGTTTCAAATCAATGCTCATGAAGACTTTTAATTCCTTATGAGTACTATGTGATTATTTACCTATGCAATGTCATTTTTTACTATGAAATGTAATACTTTACTATTTGGTTCTAGGAAATCAAAAACTAAAAAGCTTGTTTTGGAAAAGGATATGAATTTTTATTATACAAAGGATTTGGGATTAGTATCCTTACATGAATATAACATATAAAAAAATATTATCAAAATTATTTATAGAACAAACAAAAATTTACATGGCCAACAATTACAAATTATTGTAGATAATATTTCCAATAACTCGTTGAAAATAATTGGCAATATTTACCACTTCCAGCCGGAGCTTCCACCTGAAGACCAGCCATTGTTGCCAGCAGGTACCCAAACACTGCTTCCACCACCAGATTTCCAGCCACCGCCATTACCGCCTTGAGACCATCCACCATTGCCACCGCTGGATTTCCAAACCGATGCAGTGCTGACAGGCCAAGCATTCGAGCTACTGGCAGCAGACCAACCTGAATTGCCCCCAGATGGCCAAACGCCAGAGCTGCCACTGGATGGCCAAGCGCCACTGCTTCCGGCTGAGGGCCAAGCGCCACTACTTCCACCAGAGGGCCAGGCACCACCACTGCCTCCTGCTGCTGACCAACCACCATTTCCCGAATCCACAGGAACGATTTTAATAATTTTGGTTGTACTGCCACCACCATTTGACCAACCACTTCCGCCACTACTCCAACCAGCGGAGCCGGCGCTTGGCCATGCTGCTGAACCACCGCCAACACTTGGCCAACCTCCTGATCCTCCACTGGACCATACTGATGAGCTGGCGGCTGGCCAAGCTCCACCAGCATTCCATCCACTACCACCCGAACCGCCTAGATAGCCTGCAAGAGCCTGGCCGCTCAGACCGATCAACATAATTAGAACGCAGTGTTTCATTTTTGCTTGAGAGTTCTTAAGGAACGAATATTCCACCGAAAGCTTGCTTAACTTGTGTACGCAAAGATTGAATTGCTTCAACTAATAACTGCTAAAGATTAACAACAACTATTTATACCACAGAACAGAAATAGCAAAGCGGTGCTGGCTGAGCTTAGCCTAAGAAATTTGACAATAATTTGTGCTCTACAAACTATGATAATCTGAGCAGCAGCACACCAGCCAAACGGTAATGGCAAACGACACCATTTTTAAGTGGCAATAAAACTACGTTCATACCAACCGACCGACCGATCGACCGACCGTACCCGCCTGCCAAGTGGCAGTTACACGTATGTCTCTGTGCTGTGGTACGTTGTAATCGCCTCATTGTCTGTCCGACTGTCTATTCTAATTGTAAAGTATTTGTGTAACAGGCGACGACGGCAGCGGTGGCGTCTAAGATTTCTAACTAAGAAGTATGTGTGGCGTTTGCTGAGTATGCAAAAAAAAAAAAAACATTTTTGCAAATTCAGGCCTAAATTATTACTTTTTGAGATGAATTCTGCAAATCACTTTCGATTGAATTCGGAATTGTGTTACGGATGCCTATTGTGCGGGAGGGTAAAGGTTATAATGTGAGACTGATTAATTGAAAACAATTGTTTGACTGCAAGGTTTGGTGCTACTTATGTGGTGGAGGTGTATAATTTCGGAGGTCAAGTTTTAAAGTTTTTAAAGAGAGGAAAAAATAAGTGACTATTGTCCGCATTCTGATTTAGATAGACACTAATTAGAGCATTGCTATGAATTTCAAATTAGATCTCATTTGCATAATATTAGGTTGGGGAAAAAGAAATCCATTATTTTTATTATACCCTTTTAGGGATAAGTAAATCGACCTTCGACTAATCGAATAATCGAATTTTGGTATTGAAAAGTCTAAAAGTCGAAGTCGACTTTTGACATTTGAGAAAATCGCAAAGTCGACTTTTCAAGATCGACTTTCGATTTTCTTTATAAATTCTTGGTTTATTATCACAAAGTCCGAAATTGCCCAAAAATTACACATTCCAAACTACTTTCTTTCATCTGTTGACAACAATTTTTAAAAATTAAATCCATAAAAAATTAAATTTTTAGTCGATTTTGCTTTAGGTGGTAAAAGTCGAAAATCGATTTTGAAAAGGTTCGAAAAAAACTAAAGATCGAACAGGTTCAAAAAAAAAAAAAAAAACCCAAGGATCGAAAATTCAACTTTTTAGTAAAAGGCAAAAATCCAAAAGTCTATAAGTCGACTCTTGCGCTCGACTACGCATCCCTATACCCTGGTAAGGGTATTATGTCTTTGTGCATATGTTTGTAACAGGCAAAAGGAAACGAGATAGACATATGGTTCCTTCTGCGAATATGCATAGAATTACGTTCTATGTCGATTTATGCTTGTCCGTGCGTCTGTTAAATTGTAAACGAAGTACAGGTCGCATTTATGATTCGAATTGGATGAAATATGGCACAGCTCATTTATTTGGCCCAAGGACGAACCCTATTGAAATTGGGAAAAAACGGTTCAGATTCAGATATAGCTCCCATAAATATTTTCGTCCGATTTATGGTAAATGGTGCACCAAAGTCCATAAATATCTTTCGATTTGTACGAAATATGGCACAGCGAATTGAATTAAGCCTAAAATGATGTATGCTAAGTTTCGTGAAAATCGGCTCAGATTTAGATATAGCTCCCATATATATTTTGGTACGATTTAAGGTAAATGGTGTTCCAAAAACCCTATATATCTCTCGATTTGCACGAAATTTGGCATAGCGTAGTGTTTTAGGTCTAGAATGATGTGTGTGGAGTTGCACGAAATTTGGCATAGCGTAATGATTTAGATTTGGATATACCTCCCATATATATCTCTTTAATTCCATACTCACTTCAAGCACAGTTCCTAGTCGTTGGAAGCATGTAAAAATCATACCTATACCAAAATCAAATTCGGAATTTCGCCCAATTGCAATTCTGCGCTTCCTTTCAAAAATGTTTGAAAAAATCGTGCAGGAACAAATGTCCGAGTATCTTCAAATAAACTCACTGCTCAGTAATTTTCAATCTGGTTTTCGTGCAGGGCACAGCTGCACCACTGCTCTTATAGAAGTTTCAGAGTCTATAAGGTGCGAGATCGACGAAAATAAGATATGTTTTCTTGTTTTGCTTTATCACTCAAAAACTTGTGTTTTAAACTTCGTCGTTTTTTTAATTTGTCCACAACTTCTACAAAACTAATTTCGTCATATCTTTCAAATAGATCTGAGTCAGTTTACACTGGAACCTTGATCTCTAAACCTATGGCTGTAAAAAAAGGAGTCCCCCAAGGATCCATCATAGGTCCGCTCCTCTTCTCCTTATACGCGAACGATCTTCCTGATCAACTTGTGCAAGTATTTTTGAGTAGCTCCCTAAACAATATAAGTCAGTGTGTAGAAATTCTTAATCAGGATCTCTCTAGATTATGCGAGTGGGCTAAAGCTAATGGCCTATTATTGAATCCGCTTAAATCAAAATGATTAATCATTCACAAAAACAGAAAAATATCATTGCAGCGTACTGACATCCTTGTCAACAATGAAAAAATCGAGCTGGTATCCAGCGCCAAAGCGTACTGACATTCTTGTCAACAATGAAAAAATCCAGCTGGTATCCAGCGCCAAAGATCTTGGAGTAATTTTCAACAAATCATTAAGCTGGAACAACCATATCACTGCTATCGTAGGACAAACCTACTCGAAATTAAGGGCTCTGTGTCTAACACATTCATACACACCTCCAAATATTCGCTGTCTGCTGGCCAAAACCTTCCTAGTTCCAAGCTTATTGTATGGTTGTGAGCTGTTTGCCAATTGTGATTCCCTCTGTCGTCACAAATTGAATGTCGCATTTAATAGCATAACACGATACGTGTATGGCCTAAGTAACAGACAAAATGTCTCACAGTATTCTAAATCCCTGTGTGGAGTAAATTTCGACTCACTTCTCAAAATAAAATCTCTAGTTCATTTTTTTAAATTTATTTCAACTCATGTTTTTTTAATCATATATATTATTTTCCATTAGGTACCCATTCCTTTACCACCTTTATAATATCTAAGATACATATTATTAAAAAGTTGTGGACATGTGATTATATATATAATCCTATGCTGTCACTTATAAGACTTTTGTCTTGCTGTACAAGGAAAACATTAATTAACTTAAAAAATAAATAAATATATTTTCCTCCCATTTAATGTATATGGTGCACCAAAGTCGATTTGTACGGCATAGCGTAATAAATTAGATCTAGAATGATGTGTGTTAAGTGTTGTGCACTAAAGATCCAAAGTTTGTCCGATTGTCACACAATTTTGTACAATGAACTGTATATATATATATATATATATAGCAACTCTATATCTGACCAATGTTTATGGATCCATTTTCGTGTTTATGATCCTTCAACGTCTGTTAGGATTCATCTGTTAAATATACCCAAAGTGGTGAAGTATCATATAGTCGGCCCCGTCCGACTTTACTTCTTTCCTTCCTTTTTTTTTTTATACCCTTCACCACTCTGTGGTACAGGGTATTATGTCTTTGTGCATATGTTTGTAACAGGCAAAAGAAAACGAGATAGACACATGGTTCCTTTTGAGAATATGCATAGAATCACTTTCTGAGTCGATTTATGCATGTCCGTCCGTCCGTCCGTCTGTCTGTCGATGTAAAATTGTAAACAAAGTACAGGTCGCATTTATAATCCGAATTGGATGAAATTTAGCATAGGTCACTTATTTGGCCCAAGGACGAACCCTATTCAAAATTGGGAAAAATCGGTTCAGATTTAGATATAGCTCCCATATATATATTTAACCGATTTAATGTAAACGGCCCCTATATTTCTTTCGATTTGCACGAAATTTGGTACAGCCTAATCATTTAGGTCTAGAATGATGTCTGCCAAGTTTCTTAAAAATCGGTTCATATTTAGATATAGCTCCCATATATATATTTAACCGATTTAATGTAAACGGTCCCTACATACCTTTCGATTTGCACGAAATTTGGTACAGCCTAATCGTTTAGGTCTAGAATGATGTCTGCCAAGTTTCGTAAAAATCGGTCCAGATTTACATATAGCTCCCATATATAGTTTCGTCCGATTTCATGTAAATGGTGCCCCAAAGTCCCTATATATCTTTTGATTTGCACGAAATTTGGCATAACGTACTGAATTCAGCCTAGAGTGATGTCTGCCAAGTTTCGAGAAAATTGGTCCAGATTTAGATATAGCTCCCATATATAGTTTCGTCCGATTTCATGCAAATGGTGCCCCAAAGTCCCTATATATCTTTCGATTTGCACGAAAATTGGTACAGCCTAATCATTTAGGTCTAGAATGATGTCTGCCAAGTTTCGAGAAAATCGGTTCAGATTTAGATATAGCTCCCATATATAGGTTCGTCCGATTTAAGGTAAATTGGGCAACAAAGTCTCTCTACATCCTTCGATTTGCATGAAATTTGACATAGTGTACTGAATTAGGTGCAGAACGATGTGTGCCAAGTTTTGAGAAACTCGGTTCAGATTTAGATACAGCTCCCATATATAGTTTCGTCCGATTTAAGGTAAATGAGGCTCCAAAGTCCCTCTATATCTTTCGATTTGCATGAAGTTTGGCACAGAGTACTGAATTAGGTCCAGAACGATGTGTGCCACGTTTCGAGAAAATCGGTTCAGATTTAGATATAGCTCCCATATATAGGTTCGTCCGATTTAAGGTAAATGGGGCACCAAAGTCCCTATATATGATTCGATTTGCACGAAATTTGGCATAAAGTACTGAATTAGATCCAGAATGATGTGTGCTAAGTTTCGAGAAAATCGGTTCAGATTTAGATATAGCTCCCTTATATAGTTTCGTCCGATTTAAAGTAAATGGTGCACCAAAGTCCCTATATATCATTCGATTTGCTCGAAATTC